GCTTCAGCGAGCCAAATCCACATCTGACGCCATACGATGATCTGAAAACTTCCTCTGGTTTACGGTTACTCGGGCTAAACATTAAACGACTGAAAATGACTTTAGACGCAAAAAAAGACGAAAATGCTAATAAACAACATCATAGAGCTAATAAGCAATAAGTAACACGCGAAGATTAATAGCTTCTTATCAGATGCAAACAGGAATTTTCTTCACGAACTACTAGAAAAATATTTAGAATCGGATGGTTAGTGAGATGGAATAAGATTCTCATTAACCTTATTTTTTTCGCTGAAAATTTTCAGCAAAGGACTCTGTCGGCACCAACGTTCCTTCAGTACTGATTCGTANGATTAATCGAGAGAAAAATAAATCGTAAAACACATCTAACATGATTGACTAGATAAACAATGAGCGCCAATTCATTTAAGTACTGATATATAATGAAAGCAAAACAAATCAAGGTCCTCAGCTGAATGACTGTCAACTGAAATGAGCTAAACGTGACCGTTCGCTTTAAAGGGATTAGAAATATGATCTAATGATGATAATAATCACAGCTGATTCAATCATAATATATTCCATAATGTTTACAAACACATGGAAGTGATCGTTATCGTTTGCATCAAACATAGGTGGTGAGATGCATGACGATGGCAGAGTCAATTGTCAGCCGAGGAAATGAATTGATTCAGCTGATTATGAGATAAACCCGCAATTATACTATTGTAATTTAGGTTGGTAAAATCAAAACGTCATTTCATTCGTTCAAGTTCGTAGTTGAGTGTACAGTGTAGTTAGGGCACAACAAGAAATGATCGCAACGGTGTTTTCACAGGCTTTAAAGGTTCCAAAAAGGATTCTCCGGGTTTTCACACTTAATTGCACGTTCACAGCACTGCAGACGAATCAGTAGCACGCAGGGCAGCAGTGATTGTTGATTAGGTTGGTAAAATCACTTCACGGGGTTTGACACTTCACAATGGCTTCAACTCAACAGAATGTGTTCGTAATAGTGTATGGAGTAACTGTGATGGTTGGTTGATTAGGTTGGTAAAATCATTTCACGGGGCGTCATGGGTGAGCTCATCTTCATCCGCTTGATCTGGATTATTTGGCTTTTATTTCGATCTTTTATCTGACAATAAGCCTGCTCGCCTAGCCAGCGGGGTGGCTGAAATCAAGGCTGAAACAGTGCGAACGGAAACACGAGCATCGTGGCCAACAACGTTGTAAACGTTTGATAGTCTGGCCAGTCCAGGCAATCTGACAATAAACTAAAATTTTTGATTATTATATTTGTTGCTAAAAACATTTATATTAGGTAACACTGTCATT